CCCCCCCCCCCCCCCCCCGACCCCGCCTCCACCAGCCCATCCTAGGATTAACGGCTCTCACCATAGTCCTTGGACTATTGTAGATTTCTCCTTTCGAATGCTTCTTTTATGCTACAGATATTCTTGAGATGTAGCTTCAAGGATAAAATTCATAGTTTTGCAGGGCGCTCAGAACCACGTTAAAAGGGCTCATTAGCACTTAAATGTCAGTAGCCTTTTTATTCCTCTAACTTTTCTATCGGGTGAAGGAACAGCCACCCATTAAAAAACAAATTATTAAAAGGGAAATTCTAAATCTTTAAAGGAGAGAGGCCCACGGCAGCTAGGGTTCCCACCCCCTCCCCCTTTCTCTTCGCAGAACCAATGGGCGAGCAGCAGTTTGTTCCTTGAAGCTTATGGGGCATTGGAGTTCTGGTGTCCTCATTTTCCTTCCTTCCATTGATGTATCATTACTGGAGTGAAAAAAAGAAGGGCGTCTCGAGGGCTTTTGAAAAAAAATGGGTGACTACTCAAGACATTTTGTAAAGGGGGGGAAATTGCGAGGAAAAGGGGCCTCAGTAGGGGGCGGAGGGGCTGTGAATGGGGCCTTGTCTGGCAGTTCTTACAGCTGAAACCTGGTGCTGGCGTTCGTGGTTCAGTTCAAACTGTCACCTTTAGTTCTTTCTGGCTTCTCTGCCCTCGGCCCTGAACCTCAACAGATTGGGGCTTATTTACCTATTCACACTCGGCTGTGGAAGCTCATTAATAGGCTTATTAGCTACACCATTCACGGGAGGCCATTGACAAAAGGGGTTCCAGCCACTTGAAGAGGGAAGAGAAAAAAACTGTAAAGAGATTATTTTCTCATTCAGAAGCCTCGCTGGTGTGAAAGCTTTCCTAGACCCTCTGAGGTCACTCGAAGCCTAAATATGATGACAGGATTGGTTTTTTTTGTTTTTTTTTTTTAAATTCCAAACATGCTTTTGCTTTTCTCAAAACCACTTTGCTGTTGTGGGCTTGCGGGCTTCACTCACTTCAAAACGGACACTCTTAAGGGAATAAGGGGCTTTTGATGGATTGGTGTCTTTTCATCCCTATAAAGAATAAATTCTGCAAACTGCATCTGGACGTTGAAGTAGGTGTTCTTATTTGTCATTTTCAGCGGAAGGCTTCCTTTTTATTTGACGTACATAGAGCCATTGATGAATGGGGGATAGGGACGGCAGCTTCCTGCACCACTAATTTATGTGAGAATGTGTTAACAGCATTTTCAATGGCTGATGGATTCCTTGCAGGATGGGAAAGGAATCTGTATTGAGACACTTGAGTTCCCCATTGGCAGGGAATATAAAGTTGTAAGTGCCAGCCTCTGAGCAGGCAGACGCTCAGCCACGTCTCTTTCCGTGACCCCTGATCTGAGATGTTGAAAAGGTACTGATGTGGTCACAACAACTCAGGTGTGGTGGACAGCTGAGGGTCACCTGGCTGAGGTGTCCATGAATTAAAAGGTTCTGGGACTGATCTGGGTTTGAAGACTTGACCAAAACACATAGCCCTCCCCCAATCATATACATGAACTAATTGTTTTGCTTGAGAGTCAGACTATTACTTTTGCTGTCACATTTCCAAAATAGAATTTCATAGCCATTTGCCTGAAGCATTTCAATGGATCTGTTACTCCTGGCTTTTAGGGAATTTTACATAAAAGTTCTCTGAGATGTATTGTGAAGAAAAATGATTTTCTAATGATGTGGCACCTTGAAAAAATATTTCCGTAAATGTTATGAAGTGTGCAGTGTCAATGACCCATGGGCAACTGCATTTCTAAATTCAGGAAAAGTCGATTTCCCAGGTCACTTTGGTACTGCTGCTACATCCATCTTCAGGACTCAAAAGCACTTCTGGGTTTAATGACCTTTTTCTAAGGAAAAATAATTAAGGTTTTTATCTGTATTGTCTTGGTCTTAAGGCACCACTGCTTAGCAGCTGGATGAGTGAAGAAGAGAAACTATATTAAAGAATAAATTATCCGGTAGATACAGCCTAGTGGAAAAGGTAAATGGAAAATATGAACTTTAACCAGTTACAGCTTGGCATTTGGTTGAAGAATCTTAAGATTCAGAGAGAGGAATTGATTTGCTCAAGGTCGTACAGCTATTTACAGCAGAGTTGAGTCTTTAGAATCTTCCGAATTTATTGATCCAAATATATATTACCAAACAACACTTTTTTTTTTTCTCTCTCCAGTTTTGAACTTTTTTTAAGAGATCCAGATTCAGAGCCAGGCTCAGCTGCTGCCAGTAACCAGCTGTTTAACCCTGGACAAATAACCTCTCTCACCCTCAGTTTCCTTACCAGAAACTGGGACTATTACTCTGCAGGGTGGCTGTGTCGATTAAAAAGAAGAGTCTATTCCGTGTGTCCCACCCATAGCAGGGACTCCATAAATATTCGTTTCTTTTCTCATTGCTCTCGTTTTGAAGGACAGAGCAGTGTAGCGTCCAGCAACCATTCCCAAGTTGCTTCCTCTCCTCTCAAAGTTTCAGTTGCATTACATTTCTCCCCCGAATACCACGCAGACGCATTTTAAAGTCTCTCTCGGGGGTAGAGCAGGCATTCTGTCATTTGTTTTGACTTGAAATAAGACAACGTAACGCAACCGCCCGGCAAACCGTCGGTCAGGCCAACTCCCGAAGAAAGGGGGCGGGGGCGGGGGCGCGGGACCCGGCCTGATTCACCGAGGATGCTGATGCCTCTCTCCGTCCCGGTGCTGGCCGGGCCCCTCGCCTTCCCGGCCGGGGTCTTGGGGCCGCTCGCAGGCGTCGCGCTTCCTCCCGCGCGCGCGCCTGCCCGCCCCCAGGCTCCCCGCGGGCCGCGTCACGTGACCGCGCCTAGCCAAGGCGGCAGCGGCGGCAACGCGAGCTTCGGCGGCGGCGGCGGCGGCGGCGGCGGCAGTGGAGAGCGCCGCGGAGAGCCGAGCGAGCGGGCGGGCGGGCGAGCGAGGGAGCGAGCGAGTGCGGCCGCCACAAAGCTCGGGCGCCGCGGGGTCTGCGCGCGGCGTAGCTGGCCCCGCGCGGCGACTCCTTTCCATGCTGGCTGGGCCCGGCCGCGAGCCCCGGGCGCCCCGAGGCCGCGGCTTTCCTGCGCGCTCCGAGCGTTCGCAAGTTGCGAGCAAAGTTTGCTGGAGGGAACGCCAAGCCTGAGTCCTTTCTTCCTCTCGCTCCCCAAATCCAAGCGCAGCCTGCGGGCGTCATGCCCGCGCGCCTCCGCAACCTGGGGTGCGCGTGAAGCCTCGGACCTTGGCGCCGGCGAGGACCCAAGGACCACTTTTTGGGGGGAGCTCGTCGTTTGCTCCGTCCCGACCCACGCCGGACGCGGGGACAGAGCCGGTCGCCGGGGATCGTTGCCATTCAAGGTAACCTCCGTGGTGGGCCCCTCGGGGAGCCTCGCGGGACGGGAGAGTGGGCCCACGGGAGAGTGGGCGCCGTGAAAGCCCGGGACGCCGGGTGCACGGCCCCCCGAGCGGAGGGCTGGCACTGTGGAGGCTGCTCCCTGTTCTCCCTCTTTGGCTGCATAGGTGATGGGGGAGCTGGGTGCATGCTGACGGCTGGCGTTGGGGAAGTTCTGCCTCAACCACCCCCATCCGGATGCTGACATCTGCCTCTGGAGCTCACACCCGCCCCCCTGTCAAACTCCGGCCGGCGAGATCCTCAGACCCCAGAGCTGGCGGGCGAGCGGCGGGGCTGCCTCTCTGTTGGCACAGCCGCCCAGGTCCGGAGCTCGGAGGGTCATCTTCGGGGTGCCTCGTTCCGGGGCCCGGGGAGCACCCGTCCCGTCCCATCCAGGCCCCGACGGGGGTGCCCTTCCCCGGGAGGGAGCCGCTGGGGTGGGGCCGGCGACACCTCTGTAGGGTAGGAGATGCTCGGGGGTGGCATATTTGGGGAGGGGGCTGCTCCGGTTCCCCGATTGCAGTGCCGGGCGCCCCTGGCCCGCAGCCGCCGTCGGCGCTGGAGGGAGCCCGGCGCGCCTGGGGCTAGGGGGCGAACTGGACCGACTTTTTCTAGTTCGCTGCCTGCTCCGCCGGCAGCAGCTCGGAGATGTCGAAAGCGCAGGCGAGTTCTAACTTGCGCGCTCATTCTTTCGGCTGCCGGACCGCGCCGGGGAATCAGCCGGGGGCCGGGCCAGGAGCTGGCTCCGACCCTCGCGGCCAGAGGGCCAGGCGCAGAGGTCCGGCCCGGGGGCGATGAGTCTCCGCCGCTCCCATCGCCGTCCGCTCCCTTGCAGACTCTTCTCGCGACCTTCCTTCCTCTCGCCCAATTCAATAAAGCCTACCCTTAAAGGCAAACCTGCTTTCACCCATTATGTGTTTGGTGTGAAACGCTATCAACATTTAAAACCCCATTGTCCCCTTGGTCCCAAATCCCTGTAAATCTTCCACTGGCCTCGACTCATTTTCATCTGAAAAGACTGTTTAGTTTGAATAGAAAAGAAATCGGGAGCCTCTCTCTCTCTCTCTCTCCCTCTCTCTCTCTCTCTCTCTCTCTCTCTCTCTCTCTCTCTCTCTCTCTCTCTCTCTCCCCGTGGAATGTCAATTAAAATGCAGATTTCTCTGAGCTCTTTAGCGCCCAGAGAAGGGGGAGAAAATCAGATATTCCAAGCAAACAAATGAAAGAAGTGCTACAATGAAGCCGGGTTGGTGGTGTTCAGTTCTCCCGAAGTGGCGGCAAGTCCTCATTGGCTTGCCAGCGTTAACAGGGAAGAGAAGGTGGTCCCAGGTCAGCCTGTATTTTGTATTTTTTGAGAATTTCAGTATGTTGAGAAATCCCCACACCCACCGCATTTGACCCCTTGAGAGGCCCCTGCCCTGTTAGCTGTGGGGAGAAGGGGAGCTAGGGAGGCTCTGAGCCAGGAGGTGGATCTGACCCCTGGGGGACCTGGGCGCCCCCACACCTTGCCTGGCTCTCTTGACTGATGTGAAATATACTGGGAACAAAACACCCAAGTGCTGGTCATGGGGGGGCAGGCAGGCAGACAACCTCTTAGGGGTAGAAACTCAGGTAAGGCAGGCGCTGTATGGGCTGTCTTCATGGAGGGTGGTGGTGGGGTGTTGGGAATGTTCTGGTAAACCGAGGAGCCCAGCATCGACCTGGCATAGGCACCACTCCCCAGTCAAGCCCACTAGCTTGTCACTTTGCCTGTCTTTGGGGGCAGGCTTGTGCCGAGGTGAAAATGGACCAGGGGGACGGGTGGCCATGAAGAGCCATCCATCACTGGGAGGGTGACAACCCCTCCCGCGCCCAGGCGGAGAAGAGAGTTCCCTTTCAAGGGGAAAAATAAACACGCTGGGGCTTTCACTGAGGCTCAGACTCCAGGAGGGATTATGGTATTGAAGGCAGGAAGCTGGGATTGTGGCCGCCAGCGGCATGCTGGGCCTGTGTTCCCAACACCGAGCCTGGGGACCTCATTATCCTGCCTAGGAGGTCCCTCCATACTTTTGTCCTGTCCGGTGAGGAGTTGTGCAGACCTGCCGCCCTAGGCCTCCACCTTCCAGAGATTTGGGAAGGGGGTGGCCGCGGGGTCTGGACCTGGAAATGGCTAAAAGTCAGTTTCTGGTGCAAGCTGATGGGATGAATGAATGGTTTGGGATTTAGCTGAGGTCACTTACTGTCCACCTTTCCCTGCCTAGAGCAAAGGAAGCTCCTCTAGGCTGGGACAGGTGGGCGAGGCGGCTGGGGAAGCAGCCTGGGGCCCACTCTCCTGCTAGGATTTAAGGTTGTTCCTGTGAGGCAGAAAATTCCCATGCATTCTGGAAATGCCTAGTAAATCAATGAGAATGTTTGTGTGTTTTCCTCCCACATGTATGTAGAAATAGATATGGAATTATCTTTTGAGGCTCTTGAAGAGGAAAGAAAAATTGGCCAAAAAATCCTTCAAGCAGGTCTGAAAACAGGGTGGGCACACATGCTTTTCTTGCTTGTGCTGTGAATCACGCCATTTCACATGTGCTTTCTTTGAAGCAGAGATTTTCTTTACTCCTTCTCTGGAAGTGATGCAGCATCCTCTTTTCCCTTACCCACTTTAATCCTTAGCTAAAGCTAAAAGTTTTCTCTGATGTAGCTTTGGGGAGGCTCCAGCAGTATTGAAATCGTAGTCGTCATAATTCGAAATATCAAGTCATGCAGAAAGCGTGGGGTTTAGAAAGTTCTCACCCCTACCCTCAATCCTATAAAATGTGGTTCATTCATATACAGTTCACACAATCTGACTGTGTCGATCAAATTCTCTAAAGTTTGTGCATTTTGGTTCTATACCTAGTAATTGATACCGAACAAATTTAAAGTTATTTGGAATATCTTAAGTGTGGAAAATTTTCTTTGCCTTTGGATCAAATGAGTGAACAGAATAGCAGGTTGGGCACCCCCTTGTAATTTCTGCTCTGAAATTTTAGCCTGTAGGTTAGCATACTGAAAGTTATTGGCCCAGTCACATACCTTGATAATAATTTACATATCATCAGAAGCAGCATCATTAATAAATGCCTGTGATGTTCATCAGAATTTGCATTTGCTCCATTTCTTAACCCACTCTGTCTGAAGACATTCGCTAGGCCTGGGTTGCCATTAGTCATAGTGGAACGGGATTCAGCCTTCGAATCTCTTTTTGGATCAGCTGCTTTGAATTGCAGTTCCGTTCACTCTTTGTAAGTGGCTGCTTGGCGAAAGATTGAAATACATTTCTGCATTTGAAAATGAATCTCGAGGAGTGTAAACTGGTGGGAATTTTTGGTCGCCTTCCTGGGGTTCTTTTTACTTTGCTTGTCTCCCTTCTTCCTGAGGGCTCCAGCCCCCAGAAGCAGATGCCTCTGAAGCACAGTTGGCCTGAGAGAAGTTAACGAGTGGCTCGGTATGCCAGCCCGGGCATCATTAACTTGCTTTTGTAGTTGCCCTTGAAACTAAGGTCACGTTGCTTCTGTTTTTTGAGGGCAGTAGAGGTGACAGTGGGTAGAAGAGAGTACACTTTGCCTAACTGAAGTGGCCGCACGTATCTGTGTCCTGTAGCTCTTCCTTTTTTATCTCTGTTTCTTAAAAGTAGGCTTTCTAAACGATCAGCCTAACACCTTTTGTGGACGGGTCTGCTGGAAACCCCTGGGACTCACGTGTGGATGGAAGGCATTTGCAGATAATGAAAAAGAACTGGGTTGAAATGAATTGGAGTTGGGGAAGATTTCACTGACTTGCCGACTCTCTCCTCTAGAGGCTACAGCCGCAGCGGAAGTGGCTGCAGGGCCAGCAGAGGCTGTCACAGCACCTCGGTTCCCGAGCCCACCGCCGGCTGAAGGCATTGCTGCAGGCAGTCCATGCTCATAGAGGAAGTGTGCAGATGGGATTAACGTCCACATGGAGATATGGAAGAGGACGGGGGATTGGCACCGTAACCATGGTCAGCTGGGGGCGCTTCGTCGGCCTGGTTGTGGTCACCATGGCAACCTTGTCCCTGGCCCGGCCCTCCTTCAATTTAGTTGAGGATACCACGGTGGAGCCGGAAGGTAAGTTGTTTCATTTCACTTTCAGGGTACCAAGTTTGTTTTGGGATTTGTCCGGGGAAGTGGCACTTAGGTCAAGGCCTGTTTGAGAATCAGCTGCCCCTTGCGTTGTAAATGAGTCTTCCAAGAGCAAGGGAGAGTGGGCGGTCTGCTCCCCGCAAGCCAGAGATTACGAGAGAAGGTTCCCAGCTGTCACACTGCAGGCAGAGTGGTGTAGTTTGGTGGTTTCTTGGCATGTGCATTTCTCTGAGCTGGGTGAGGGAGACAGCGGGCAGTTTATCCAGTGCCCAGGAGAGCCGTGGAAGGGGAGCTTGTAGTGAATGTCATCTAGGGCTTCCTGCAGGAGCATGCTTACTGGAGAAAGTTTTGCTCACAATGTAAAGAATTGCTGTTTTCTGACAAAAGGAGTCGCTAAGGGAAATTGCCAACATCTGAAATGCTGACATTTTATTTTCATTGTCTAAGGAGAAAAAGCAGCCTCTGAAGTTCAGCACAGAGATGCTTGACACATTACATTCTTTTGAGCCATTGTAATTCATAATACCTAAGCGGTACGGTACGTCACAAAGCGGCAGATTCTATTTTAAGTCAATTTGAAGTGTACCTGGCCTTTCCTGAATCTCTGAGAACTTCCAGATCTAACAGGGTGTGCGTTGGTGTTTCAGCTTTGGAAATTGCATGAGGGCAACACATTATGCATTTTGGAAGGTACAGAAAGGCATGAGGCCAGTTGTGAGCACCAAACAGGGCTGAATTATCCCGCTGGACAGATTTGGAAACTCTTCCCCAGGTCCTTCTGAGATGTCGGTAGCCAAGCCTTGACTTGGTGCAGCACTGAAATCTGTCATCAGTAGGGAATATCGGTAGCTGAGTTATTTTTCAAGTGGTAATCTGAGAATAAAACAGCAGATCCTAGCACTCATCGCCACTTAATGAACCTGTTTGCTGAGAGCCCACCTGGTGCCTGCTGAGCTCGGGGCCTGAGTGGGCTGGGGTCAGCTCAGCTGTTCTGGAAAGGCACCCAGCACAGAAGAGGACCGCAAGCCCGTCTAGGACCGCGCGGGAGGGAGGGCTGTATCCCCATCCGAGGGGGGCTCCCGCTGAGACCCTGAGTCAGGAAGCATAAAGACATATCTTTTTCTAAGACGGAGGGACTTCTTACCGGAAGCAGTCCAGCAGTCGTGAGATGAGGCTCGTGCCCTTTTTCTTACACAGAGGTACGGAGGCTTTATAATGAACAGGTGCGGTGACATCGCCGAGGTTTCCAGATCTCCGGGAAGGAAATCTGGTAGGAGCTTGTGTCTGTGACTGCCTCCTTGTGACATAAGCATGGCTGTCATGTGCAGTGGTGATGAATTTTTTTTTTTTTTGCGGTACGCGGGCCTCTCACTGCCGTGGCCTCTCCCGTTGCGGAGCACAGGCTCCGGACGCGCAGGCTCAGCGGCCGTGGCTCACGGGCCCAGCCGCTCCACGGCATGTGGGATCTTCCCGGACCGGGGCACGAACCCGTGTCCCCTGCATCGGCAGGCGGACCCTCAACCATTGCGCCACCAGGGAAGCCCAGGTGATGCATTTTTAAAGGGCTTAACTTGAGGGAAAAGGGTCCTGGTTTCTGAAAGTCATGCCTGTACTTCTTTAATTTTGCTAATAATTAAAATGGATGTTTCTCTAATTGCCAGTTTTCCCCCGAGTGCGTGGCTCAGCCCACACCGAGGCAGCTGAGCTGGGATTTCCCAGGAATGGCCCAGGTTAGGAGGAAAATGTCATTTTTCATTTAGACTTCGAGGGCAGCATTATTGGGAGTTTATTTCAACATAAAGTGTAAAATGGTCCTGGAGGACTTCTTTTTATCATATTTAATTATTGAAGAGAGTTTAAAATATGTGTGCACGTACTGGAAGAAAGAGGCGAGGCAGAGAGGCGGAAAAGCAGTGGACGGGGATGAAGTCCGCACGGTGGTTCTTTGTTAAAAATGTGCATCCAACAGTGTGAGTATTGTTGGAAGCAGGTCTTCCCAACTTGGCATCTGTGGATGCACTTGCGGGTTGAGGGGAGGTGCCTGAATTCCCTGAAATGGTAGGTCATATTTTGCAGATGTCCTTCTGTGAATATTTCGGGGTTCATAGCTCCTATGAGGTTTGTGTCCAGAGTTGTGAGAGGTTAAAAAAAAAAAAGATTTCGTGGACCCCGCAAAACCCTGCAAAGAGGTGACTTTGGAAAAGCACACAAACCCCTGGACCTCAGTTTCCTTCCCTTTCTGTCGTCTGAGAGCTGGATAAGACAGTCTTCAGGGTCTCTTCCTTCGTGCTAAATGAGTATTTATATCCTCAGAAGCCTTCTGCTGACCTGCCTCAAAAGCTTGCTGGGAGATTTAGGTGGGCCCGGACGTGAAGTGCGGTTAGCACAGGGCCTGGCGTCTAATGCCGCACCTGGGATGTGTTGTCATCATTGTTCCCAGTGAGCTGGGCACATGCATCTTCCTGGTCCCGTGGGCTGGCTGGGTCAGTTGCCACAGTGTCAGGAAACATCTAGGCTTTTGGAGACAGTTGAGTAGAAAGTTGCTCTCTAATGGAGGAGGCCCTTGGTGTTTCCAGGCAGCTGTGTTTGCTTTCTGTAGAGTCTGTACTCCCCCTTTCAACTGATTTGAGCCCTAAGATGAGTTCTTCCAATGCCGGAGTTTTGCTTTGGTGTCAGAGGTTGTTAGGAAGGTAATCTAATTATAGATGAGGAAGAGGAGATTTTAGCAACTGGAAGCAGACTAAGTAGGGCAGCTCCAGTTTAGGCTGTGGTACCAGCGAATTGGAGAGAGACAGAGAGTCCCCCGTCCATGTGTGTCCATCAGTCCCTGTCTGTCCTCCATGGTGAGTTTAACTGTAGCTTTGGTTAAAGTAAGTTCAACCTTGACCTTCTAGTGCACAAGGCCTTATCTTATTTTTGTTTTGCTAATTGGGAAGCTCAGTTGAGATAATGTGTATCGGGCTGGACCAGAGGAAAATTTGTGCAGAGAAAAAGGTAACTAAGTTCCAGGAAGGAGCCTGAGCCCTAATGCTAGAGGGTCCTTTTCCAATTGTCCCAGCTTTGTACAGTATCATGTCATCTATCATCACCCTATCCCATCCATCATCATATCATGTATCACATCATCTCATCTACCATGTATCATGGTATCATATATCCCATCATCTGTCATATATCATTTGTCTCTGGACACATTCTGAAGTGGTAGCTGTAGATTTGGGTCTACTCAACTGACTTAAGAAGAAAATAATCTCTAGAAGATTTTAGTTGTTAATATTCCAGACTAAAAATGAATATTTTCAACTGGTCATTCATTTTTGTAGGTGACCAGCTGCGAAGGGTTTAAACTTAGTTGACTCAAAGGGGCCATTCCTCAATGCCAAGTACTGTTCTGTTGATTAAGATTGTAATTATTTAAAGTATAGTCAAGCTTGATTACCCTGGGGTGGAGGCGACTCTTACTTTCAAGTTCTTCCTGACATTGTCACCTACTCTGGTTAATTAAGTCATTGTTGACATTAACCACATCTTTGTTTACATCAGCCCAGTAGGAGCTAAAATAAAAGGGCTTTTCCAACCCAAAACCCTTTATTACTTTTCCACCCTCCACCAAGTGTCATTCTGAAAAGCAACAACCTGGGAAGAATGTAGTATGCCTTTTTTTTTTTTTTTTTTTTTTTTGTAATCAATTTTTGGGCAAGGTGATCCTGACTGATGTGAGTTGGTCCAAAGTTCAGTAGCAGAGAGATTGAGCATGGGGTCCACAAGGAGACCTCCTTACCTCAGATTTTTCCAGTATGGTTTAAGTCCTTTGTTAGAAGTATTGTAAATGCCATGATATCAGCCATACGCATTTAATTGCAAGTTAAAAGAAAAGAAAAAAAGAATATATCCGCATACCAAGAATGAATGATTTAAAATAATCTTCTGTTTTGTATTATCTGCATCTTTGTTCCTCAGCGTGAGTGTTAATATTTAAGAGTTGACTGTAACTTGATAGCTTAGGAACAAGGACTTATTCTTGGTAAATTAAACCAAACATAGGCTTATTTAGTATATAAAGTATTTCACAATTCATAGACGAAGAGCTGCGTTTAATATTACTTCTAGAGCAAACATTTGGCAAGCCCAGAGAATTGGTATTTGTATACTCTCTATACTGGCTCGCTCTCATCCAGATTCCAAGTATGTGTGGTGTGTGTGTGTGTGTGTGTGTGTGTGTGTGTGTGTGTGTGAGTTTGTATTTTGCCTTTTTATTTTAACCAGTTAAAACACTGAGTACCTACTAGGTGACTAGTCCTTGCTAGGCCATAACTGAAGACTTGTTGCTCTCAAGTGTTTCCCACTCAGTTGAGGATGAGAATTCAAATAACTAGAGCAATCCAATATGAGATGTTTCCAATATCAGACTTAATGAATAATTACACGGTTATGAAATAACTGGGGTAGTGTTTAAACAGGAAGAGTTTTGTTTAATGTTTGTATTCTCAGTAAAATGTGTCCAGGAGCCCTCCCATTTGTAGTCTCTTGTTTGGGTATTTACTTATCCAGGGTAATTGTTAAAAGGCTACCCTTCTCTTTCATCAGAGTCTGGCTTAGTTTTACATTTCCATTAAAAATGCTGTCTAATTTTAGCCTCTAAAGGAAAATGTGGGAAATTGATTTTTGGGTGCCGGCATCTTAGGCTCGGTAGGAAATACAGCTAGTGTGCTACTTTCCGCTGTGTTGGTTTGATTCTTAGCAGGGTGCTTGCCTTGGTAAGCAATTCAGAAGTGATTGTTTGGAAGTTTTTCAGGCTGTCCCACAAATGATTCTGATCCAGTGGGTTTTATGAGGCTGTGCAAAAAGGCCCATGGTCTTTATTATTATTTTGTTTTCCTGGAGGGATGACTTTAGCCTTAGGTTTTGCATCCTTCTTATGCTTTTGCTATATCCAAGTGAGATTTAGAGATGGCTCTGCTTTTCCTGCTTCCCTGGCATTGCAA